CAGAAATCTCCGCTAATAAATTTGTCAGTGTGCCTCTTGATCTTTTGCAACCGATTAATCACGAGAAAATTATTTCTAAAAATTCCTTTTACGGCATTTTATTCAAAGGTTACAACACAAACTCAAACAAGTAAGTAAATAATTTAACTACTAATCTGTTGAAACTGTTGGGCATGCTACGGCTTTTTTGTAAATGGATGGCCGAAGAAGCCCAGACGTTGCAGATTTGCACTTCGAAGAGGCTCTAGGTGACGCAGAGATGGCGAATTAACACATGCACATTAGCGGCGAACAACATTGGTAGAGCACTTATGGCTTCAGTATAGCCCAGATTGATCTGACCGTATGTCGTAAATCCAATGGGGCTCTAGAGTCGAGTCAACGATGAAAAAAAATGTTAAAAATTAATTAACGTCAAAATGACAATGCCAAAGTCAAAGCAATCATGGATTAGGCATTTTATTTTAAATTTAGATAATATCAAGTGGTGCAGGATATTAGTATTTTGGGTTGCGTAAAAATAATTTTCAGAAGTAATTTTCTCGTGACTAACCCTGTATTTGTAGTGAAGCAATTCCTTTTTGGTGCTATTTATGGCACTTTTGGCTGGTTAGATTGTTTAATAAATTAAAATATGGGAATTTAGTGGAACTTCTCCAAGGTTTTCATCATTATGCAGTCCAAAACTAAAATGAACAATAGGAAATACTGTTTTTAACTGTTCGTCTAAGCTTGGACGAGACAAACATTTAATTGTCACATGTACGAAAAAACGTACGTTCGATTATTAAGGATGATTGTGGAATTAATAAGGCAAGGACTTACGCCCATATCTGTTATGATAGATTTCTGAAAAAGTCGAAATTAACGTTTTTGAAAAAGTGTTTCCTGGCATTTTAACACGAGGATGCTTTTTCCACTTCAGTCAATGTATCTGGAGAACCATACAGAAAAATAAATTTTAAATAAAAACATGGACTACAACGATCCAGATTTTTCGTTAAAGCTGAAAATGATTTCGTCCTTCACTTTTGTACCAGAACAAGATGTTATCCAGTCATTTGAGATGCTTCAACATTTCCAATGGTTTCAAGATAATGAAAAAATATTAGCACCATTAACGGATTATTTTGAAGACACGTGGGTCGGAAGGTCAATTAGGCAAAACCGAAGACCTAAATACGCGTTATCTTTGTGGAATCAAATTTTGACGAGGTTAGAAAATCTTCCAAAAACGAAATAACGCGGTGGAAGGTTGGCATCGACGCTTCCCTTCCTTGGTAGCTGCTAATCACCGTTCAATATGGAAATTTGAAGCCTTAAAGTTACAGCAAAGCTCTAACGAACTTCAGATTGAACAGTTTATTTAAACCGTGTTCAATTTATTAGTTATTTATTTTTTGAGTACGATATTCAGAAAAAAAGGTAGCTCTACAGCTAAGCACATGTAATATACTACAAGGTAACACACGCGAAGTAAACGGACTGCGAAGCAGAAGATGCGCGATATAACTGGGCAACGAGATAAACGGTAGGCGAGACAAATAGGCTGAGAGGTAAAAGTCGCGAGGTACCAACATGCCATATAAATTTTGCGACTTATTGACGCCAGAGCATAACGAGGGCATTTACTCCGGTAAAACAAAGAAAGGACACTGTTTTATTTGGAAGGAAGGAGATGCACATCGTGGCGTCCAAAATGTGGCATCTTGTCTTAAAATTTATATTAAATGTTTTGCCAAAAAGAATATCAGTGAACTGAATCTGTGGTCTGACTTTTGTGGGGGTCAAAATAGAAGTCTAAAAATTGTGTAGATATTAAAATCAATTTTATCGCAACATTCTACTTTACACACGATTTATTTGCAATTTCTTGTTTCGGGACATAGTTTTTTACCAAATGACAAAGATTTTGCAGATATTGTTTTGTTTAAGAAAAACTGTGACTGTTTGTATTGTTTACATTAGTGTCTCTTCTTACATCAGGTCCTTTTCAAGGCAAAGTGTTGTGAAAGGGTTTTATAATTTAGATTTGTAGCATATCAGACACAAAGAGTGATATGCATAAAGTTTAGTAAATACTAAATACTGAAATTTACAAGTAAATACTGACTTTGGTATGAATAATAATAAGTATAAGCTTATAAGTATTTACTTATTACTTGGTCTTGAAAAATTTTCTAGGTTTTACTTAATTTTCCAGTAAATACTTCAAGTTGCATGCATAATAACAAGTACTTACTTGTACTTGCAAGTAAGTACTTAAAATTTTTCAAGCTACTTTTTAGTAGACTAGTGATTATACTTAAATTGAATTCAGTCAACGTGCAGTGTGTCTTAAGAAGGTGATTGATATTTCAAGTTTAGAACAGTTTAGAATGGCGCTATTTGTTCTTCCTTTTCGTCAACAGAAATTATATAAACCCCGGAGACAAGCCTATCCGAATACGTACAAGGCAATGTACAGATTCGAGGAAGAAAACGTGCAGTATTTAGCGGATGTATTTTTGCGTGATCAAGCTGAAACTCGTGGGGGTGCTTTATCGGCAAAACAGAAAATGGAAATATTTTTAAGGGTGGCGTCTGGTTCGGTTTCGCCCAATACTAAATACATTGAAAACATCGTCGTAGTTTCCGGAATTGCATTTTTAAAATACTGAAATCTCCAACCAAGTCAGAATCTAAGTAAACCTGCATTCTGCTACCGCATCACAGCTCGTTTAATGCCGATTTCTCGTTTCAATAGATTTTGACTTTTCGCGAGTTATTTACCTCAGTCGTGGATTTTTTAATATTATAAATGGTATCAAAAGAAAGCTGACACTTTTCCCCCGGGGGACCTCCTATCTCAGAATGCAAAAAACTTCAGCACTTCGTCAAAAAATGCATCAATGTGCCGGTTAAAATGTGATGTAAAAGTTGTTCAACTTTATAATTTTTTTTTGTAAAAACTGCATACTAGATATGAATATAAATATGGAGGTCCCCTGGACTGAAGTTTGTTAATTCGAAATATAATTTTTTTAAAGCGATATATCTCATATTTTTAAAATGCAACTCCGGAAACCGCGATGATGTTTTCAATGTATTTAGTATAGGGCTAAACCGAACCAGACGCAAGCCTTAAGATACATGGGCGATCCGGGATTTCAAGTGGGTGTTGGGGAAGATAGTGGTACCCATCAAAGTACCGTCTCAGGGACAGTTCACGAAATCAGTAATAAAATCTACGACAGCGCCCATCAATGGATAAAATTTCCGGCAGAACAGGGAGAAGTTGATACAGAAAAACAGGAGTGGTTGGAAAAATATAACTTTCCTGGTACATGGTGGATAATGGGATTGCGGTCACCACTATCCAATAATTTTATGAAATCTTCCTCCCATCGTTTTAATTTAATTTGTTTATTTCCTGTTTTTTTCAGTCGGTCTTTTTTTTATTTTCTGTTTTCATGTTGTTGATCTTTTTTAATATTTTTGGTTCCGTCATAGATTCTCCATAATCTATGGCGTATTGGCTTGCGAACTTACTTAGAGCAGCCTTTTTTTTCTCTCGGCTGTTTGGTGTTTGCGATTTGGTTGATAAGAATATCGGCTATTTCTTTAAAATCGAAATAAATCTTTCCTGCTTGTTGTTTATTTCAGTAGTTTCAACACTTTCTTTCGGTTTCGGAGTCTGAGGAACTCATGTTGCACCCAAATTCGTACGTATGACACAAATCACAAAATTATTTTTATGACAGTTACGTTAATCAGTTTTTAAGTATTTACTGGCAAATTGCAAGTATTTACTTATAAGTATAAGTAAAAGGTTATGCATATGAATTTCAGTAAATACTTTTACTTGTAGTAACTACTAATAAGTAGATGCTTTTACTAAAAGTAAAAACTAAATACTTATTTTTATGCATATCAGCCAAAGAAACGAAGCGCCAAAACCACGCTTTGTTTGTTTTTAAAAGAACTGCAGTCCAATAAAGATTTTAAAAATAATAAGTATAACCCTGAGAAGCATGATGTTCTTGACAAGACATGGGAACAACTGAGCATTTTACGCACGAAAAATGATACCTTTTTGAATGTTAACATTTTTCCGCAAACATGTTTCGTGAGTTGCTATGGGATACAGCATGGTGTGGCGCCGGTACTTTAAGCAGTGTGCACGATTAACATAAACATAGATGGCTGATTTGACATTAATTGTCATTTTGAGTTGTTCCATTATTTTAATCGTCGTCTGTAAGCGTCTAATATCCGTTCGCAAAACTCCCGCACTGTCAGTGTCAGATTTGGAAAAAATGACCTGAGTGTACTAAGTGGTGAGATGCGAAAAACCTGTACAATATGTTGCAAAATTGCAATCTAGTGACAAATTAGTAACTAAAAATAACTTGTCAAATAAAAATGTCAAAAGCACATTAACTGAAGATTTTTATCAATTCAAGTAAAGAAAGAGTATGACACACTTACGACAACGAAAGCTTTTTTGAATAATATATATTTTTGACCTTACTGCCTATTTCTACGCTTCTGGTGATACAACTTGTTTTTTAAAAACATTCTACACTTCAGCAACTCAAAAAGGTAAAATACTTAATAAACCGATTATTATCATTAATAATTCTATACAATTGTTATAGACATTCTTGAAATTGTTAGACTGGAGATTTTAATTTACTGAAAACTTTGTCGCCAACTCCAATGAAGACATTTTAGAATGACAAACATTTCAACCGCCAGCTTACGATTCCTTTACACGTGCGACAGTTCTATTCGGTAGTTGCTGTGGGAGAACAGTTTTCGCCAAGTGTAAATGCTTCTGCCAGCTACTGTCAAGAGTAACTTGCAAGTGTAAAAGTGTCTTAATACTCATAGTTTCCTTACTGCTGGTTATATAATAACAGTTTGTGAATGGTTTAATTAAAGAAACAACTAATAAAAAGTAACATAAACAAGGAAAATTAAAACATTTAAACCAATGTAAATTGAGATATCATAAATCATTCATCGTCAGAATCAGAATCAAAATCAGAGTCTGAATCATCTGATTCTGCTAAAGAAATTATTATAGGTGGAATTTCCTCAAGCGAAAAATTGCCCATATATTTCTTCCAATCTTCTTTGATTAATTTTTGGCAGTGATTAACACTATTTTGCCACATTTGAGGGGTGAATCTGTCCAAACCTTCCTTCCAAACTTTTGTTACTTTATTCTCAGTATGTTGTGAACCCTTAACATGTTTATTGTAATAATTCTTGGAAAAGGCCCAAACAAGCTCAATTGCATTATACTGGCAGTGATAAGCCGGTAAACGCAAAACTTGGTGACCGTGCGACTGCAGTAGCTCATCTACAACGTAGCATTTTTGTTCTCCATGTATCAGCGGTTTAATGACGCTCCAAAGCTGAACTTTTGTCATATTGTCAGTAAAATAAATATTGCGTTTTTGCAACCATGCTTGCATGTCTATTTTTTTGCTGTTAGAGTTTGGAGGCTTTTCTTTCCGCACTGAATGGTACGGTGCGTTGTCCATGATAACCACGCATTTTTCGTTTAATTTGTTTAGGTCTGGCAGCAATTGATTTTTTACCCATTTCAAAAAAATTTCGCCATTCATAGTTTTATGGTAATCGCGGTCTTCTATCTTGCTATCTAGGAGATAACTAAAATTTTCGAGAAAACCGCGATTACACCCGGCATGTAATATTGTAAATCGTTTTCCCTCATTTTTTGCTTTTTTTGGATTGGCTTGTACGTCGTCTTAGCGCAGCCACATTCGCACCTGACTGCCGTTTTGGTAAATCCAAGTCTCGTCTAAAAAGATGAAGAGAGTATTTTCATTATCGCTTAAATATTGGAGATATTTTTTTAGAAAAGTAATTCTTTGAATTTTAACATGTGATTGTTCACATAAGATTTTTCGATTATTACATATTTTGTATTTAAAGCCCATTGATTTTATGATTTTATATAAAGCTGTTCGTTGTTGTTTAAACTCAAGCTCTTGTTTAGCATATTCCAATAAGTCAGACAATGTAAAATGTTCATTATTTTTGTGGTAACTATAAATTTTACGCGTTAGCTCTTCTTTCAAAAAATACGTGTAGTAGTCATTTTTTGGTTTTAAATTTCGCCCTCCTTTATTAGCGTCCAATAATGGCTCCCCATGTTCAGTTTTTTTCAAAATATCTCTAACTTGAGTTTCACTAATCTAAATAGCCATAATAAATAAATTTTCAGCAAATTAATAAAACAATACCCTACCAAAAATATTTTTGCCGCTGCTTTATACAGGTTTGTAATTCCTATCGCTGGAGTCAGTTCTTTCCGTTCTAAACAATAATTTACAATCGCTTGTTTTTCCCTTGCAGAAAGAATAATCCTTTTGCGTGGACATTCTGCCATGCTTGATGACATTTGATTTTTTAAATCCCAAGTAGACATTAATTTTGAAAATTTGAAATTCAAGGCGGTAATCACATAAACTTAAAAATCTTTTAGGGGATTATTTCTCATACCAATAGAATGTCATTTTGACAGTGCGGGAGTTTTGCGAACGGATATTAGTTTTGAATATTGACGATTAACAATAGAATTAAGAAAATGACACAAAACGATGAAAGTGATAGCGATATGAGTGTTTGCAACACACTTACACACCCCCAAAATTGCGGGAGATGGCGAGTGCAGCTACAATAGACTTACTGCCCCTGAAGTCACGAGTGCTTCATGAAAAGCAGTATAAAAGGTTCAAGAACTGGTGTCAAGAACAAAAAGCATTTTAACGGTTAAAACACTTCGAGAGAGTAGTATTGGAAGTAATATTGCTTATAAACCTTCCGAAGTAGTAGTCGACAAGCGCAAAAAGCCAAAACTTGCACTAACTGCACGTTTAATCTTAGGGAGTATTTTTGTATTGTAATTAAAATAAAGATTTGTTGTATTTAAAAGAGTATATACAGATTTTAATTTGCTATAACCAGGAAGGTCGACGGAAAAATGTAATATGCACCTCGGCAAAAAAGTGCCTGTTATATAGAAACAGAGAAATCAATTAATTTGAACTTGGAGAATGAGACTTAATTTGGAAATTGTCTTATTACCAAAACAAAAAAAAAAGCTTACCTCATATAGTCGAATATTAATCCGAAGGAAAATGGGAAGAGGAGTACCCATTTTGCTTTCACCATTTATGAAGCGACATTTTGATTTTTTAATTGAGATAAGGAAAAATGTTGTTAAAAACAACGAATTCAAATCTAAGAAGTATAAGTGCCATACAACTGAAAAAACATTTGGCTACAGTAACACAGTTATTTCAATGCTCTGATAAAGATCTGGAACAACTTTCCAAAATCATGGGACACAAGTTACAAACTCACTGTAATGTTTACAGGTTGTCAGATAACAGGTTTCAGACCTGCAAAAGTATCTAAACTCCTGCTCCTGGTAAGAGAAGGGGGCCTGGAGCAGTATGAGGGTATGCAGTTGGACGATATAAATATTGACTTCGATCCTATTACACAAATACTTAAATCTGTAGAAGATATAATATTAATAAAGAGTAGTATATGCTGATGCTGGTGATTTTATAGGTAGATAATTGCTAAATATATTAATAAAATTCAAGTATATGCTAATGCTATTAGTACTAGCTTTATCGGTACAAGCACTTACTTAGTGCAACTACAAAAACAGTAACATTTGAAGTATGTTCTTAGGATCATATTAATAAAAGCAAGCATTTACTCATAGCGATCAGTATATACTTACAAATTTATCAATCTACTCGTGGTCATGCTAATGAAAGATTTTATGGTACTAACAACTGCTAATCATCATGAAAACATGTTCGCTGGAGTTCGAGCGCCAAAAGTATATAAAGCAAGACGCGAAAATCCATCCGATCGCGAATTTATACAAATGTATCGATTTATCGCATCAAATGTTGAATGGTTAGCAAAACATTTTCTGGAGGACAATGGCGAAACTCGTGGTGGAGCACTAAGTTCAGTAACGAAAATGAATTTTTTTTTAAGATTGCGACGAAATTCCGGATGGGAGGGACGGACGGTCCGGTGACGGTCCGGAATCTCGCCGATAACGTATGGGGTGGCGGCGTACTTGGGTGTCAAGCTTTGGGTCGACTAGTATCGCTGATAATAGTAACACGTCTGGTCGACCAAGCTTATGCGGCTACCTTCACGCCGCCGGGGGTGGCGCCTTCGGTCAGGAGCGGCGGTCGCTCGGGCGCCAGCTCCCTCTCCGGGGGAGGGAGCGCCGGGGTGCTCTAAAGCCGGAGACACGGAATTCAGGTGATGAGCCGCCGCGAAAACTCCGGAACAAAAATAAAATGTTATAACAAAAAAAAATAGGGTTTATTCCCTGCCACCAGCTACACGGTCTAAGATAATAAAACTTACGGCTAAATAACTTAACTAACTAAACAACGGTTTTACAACAAAAACAGAATTAAACGTCCGGCACGGTCGTTCCTCCTGGGCGGCGACTTCCTTCAGGCCGGGCTCCTCTTGGCTCTGGGGGCGGCGACCTTGAACCTGGAAATCGCGCGAAGACGGTACGGCGACCCGGGAGGGGAGCGCGGTGACGGTAACGACGCGTGCACGACGGTGTCGACTTTCGACGGTGACAAAAAAAACGCGGTGACGGTGACACGGTTTCTCGCTCGGGGGCGGTGATTCCAAAACCGGTACAAAACAGGCAGGCGACCCAAAAAGGTACTTACGGTGGGTCGGAGGGTCGAACTGCTCACTTCTGCCACACTTCTCCAAAAATTCTTAGACACCAAAACAGCCACACTTCCGCACTCCCTGAAGTTGCAGGCAAGAGTCCTCTTCTTCCGCCGCGGCGGCGCGGCGATCGCCAATTTACCCCCGGCTTTCGCGGTACGCGCCACGGTTTCCGGCCCGCGAAAATTCGCTTCGTTACAAGATACATAGCTGATCCGGGTAAGCATTTAAACACAAAGTGCAATTTGACATTTTGTGCTGCTCCGCATCCAAAAATGGTCGTCAGTGTCAGAGTCTTCCATTTAATTCTGTATAAAAAAAAATGACAGTGACGACCACTTGTCCATGAGTCTAACTGTAGTACTGTATATGTCACCATACGTCAGGTTTTCAAGTAGGAGTTGGAGAAGACATCGGAGTTAGTCAGCCGACTGTGTCAAACACAATCCATTTTGTCACTGGAAAAATTCTAGAAAAAACACATATATGGATTCGGTTTCCTCAGGTAAAATTTATACTTATTGTGTTGTTTCCTATATGTAAATTGTTTAGGACTATGGTAGCGTGCAAGGTGAAAAAGAACGTTGGCAACAAAATATAATTTTCCAACTGCGATTGGTGCCATAGATTGCACACTCATCAAAATTAAAAACATTATCGAAATGGTCATGGGCATGAATATATTTGTAGGAAACAGTTTCCAGCTGTTAATGTCCAAGCAACTTGCAATGCCGACGAATTATTTACAAGTGTGCAGAATGGCCAGGATCAGTGCACGACAGTCGTATTTGGCGAAACAGTCATGTGTGTCCAGTGATGAGATCGCCTCAATATGCAGTGCTTTTAGCAGATCAAGGTTGTGGTATAGAAAAATGTTTGATGACACCATACAGAAATGCAGAGCTTCCAGAACAAGTTGCGTTTAATCGTTTAGTTAAAAGGGAACGAAGTTGTAATTGAACGATGTTTTGGACAGCTAAAGCAACAATTTCCCTTACTGTTAAATACCGTAAGAGTATGTATAGCTCATGTTCGCTCTCTTTTTGTGGCTTGTTTTGTGTTACATAATGTAGCAAAATATTTAAAGACGATGCTATATTAGAGGACGATATCATTATTGAAGGAGATAATAACAATGTTGCTGATGATGATAACGATGTAGCTGAACTTGAAAGAGTTCTTCCTAGAGATGGACAAAGAAGGCGTAATGAGGTTGCAACTTTGATTTACGAAAATATTTAATAAAATAAAATATAGAAAAAGTAACTTCCAGCGTGTTTAATGAAAAATAATAATTTGCGTTTCTTTTCTAAAATTAAAAATTCGTTTTCTTGGTCTTGCAGGACGTTAACTTGGAATTTCAAAGTGAATCGTCAAAAATAACTGTCTTGTTAGAACGGATAAGAAACTTGTACGTCTTGATATTAAAAAGTTTTATTAAAAGACATGTTAATGATAGAATGCAATTGATATTGAGTTAGAACAATTAAACTTAGAATGGCACTCGGCTGGTGAAATAGAGAAAAAATATGACAATCTAGATTTAGAACCTTTTTGGGGGGCGGTGACAAGAGAAAAAATGTCCTAAATGAACCCATGTTTCCAAATTTACGTAAGGTGGTTCATATAGTGTTAGCTTTGCCTCACTCGTCTGCCGCCGCGGAACGTGTTTTTTTCTCAGGTTAATTTAAAGTAAATTCTGTGTTTAATAATACAGTAATCTAAATAAATCGGCCTTTTATGAAGCCAATCCGAATATAACATGGTGTCAGAAGTAAACGTAACAAGTGGAACGAAGTGATGGTTAAAGAAAATAGGCGAAAGTGTAAATTGTTTTAGAGGCAAGTGCTAAAGTGGAAACGTGACGCTTAACCTTAATTTCTTAATAATGGCTGACATCGCCACGCCATCATACCCTTCCGATAACTCGTATTTAACCTCGAATTTTTGACGGCATATGCGTTCATTCCAAGAATTTTGCTGGCTGGTAGTTTTTTGTGGAGATAATTGATCCATTTTTAAGAAAGTAGTTGAAGTAATAATAATTAATAATACTTTGATTCATAGCTGATTTATTATGTCTAAAACTCACGTCTTTTATTAAAAAAAAAGGAATGTGGCGCAGTTAAATATTTATTTCCCTGAAAATCCATACTTCCCATGCGATTTAGATGAAAAAGAAACGCCCCCGAAGGCCTACGCACGAACAAAAAGGAATCGCGATAAGCTTTATTGAAAAGAACTCAAAATTAGCCAGGTCTCAAGAGACGAATGGAGTTCGGGTGGTTAAGCTGTGGAAGTCACTTATGACTTCATTAAATGCTAATGGGGGTGCGTGTAAGGATGATTTTTTTTCCAACGCCATTTTGTGGAAATGCTGCCATTCAGTATGAGCAGCTGCAAGAAGTGAATGCTAGGAATACCCATACAGCTCACTTTACTGAAGGGGAAAAAATTGTTGAATATGAGCTTGCAGTGTACCCAAAGAATCCATGGCTAGCATGTTCTCCAGATGGTATTTTGCTGGCAGCAAATAAACCTCAGGCGTTGATAGAAATAAAGTATTTACTTGAATCCCCTTATCAACAAATTTTCTGTTTTCTTCTTGATTGGTCAACCGTGCTTGCTCAGAAAATCCTATCAAAGTCTCAGCCACTTCTCTTTTCACATCATGGTCAAAATCCTTTCCAATAAAAAATTCAGTATTCTCTTCATTTTTATGTTCTGTGTCATTAACAATTGCCATCAATTTTCTGCCCTCTTTTGCCGCTGTTGAATAAAT